TTGGGCGCCAGCTTATTTGAGTGACATACCTTTGTCAGGTTTGTTGAGGACCACCTCAAGGTCAGAGAGTGCAAATTCTTTCTTCACTCGCTTAATTGGGTAGAAACTTTCTTTGGTTGAGTTTTGGCTGAGGTTTGATGGAGCATTGGAAGAACAACGGTACAAGGAGCTAGAAATGGGTAATGTTACCCTTCACACAACCCGCAATCTGAAGACAACATGGGGGATAGAGAAGCATGGCAGTGAGGTTTTCACCCATGAAGTTTTCAGTGATTTCCAGAAAGAGGTCATAGCTGCTAGGGACCATTGCCTAATTGACTCGGTGCAACAAGAGGGTGATGTCAAAATCACCGGTATCATTCAAGGTTCTCGAAGACCAAGAGTTGTACAATACTCCCTCCGTCCCAGATTAAATGGATGTCTGGAGTTCAAATTTTTTCCCAATTTAATTGATCACATGTCTCCAGTCCTAACCTGGCGGACAGAGCTGCAGTACCTTTTCACCAGCGCCAGCGCATGGGAGCATTCCTGGCCACAAGCTAACTGTCTCCAGATGCATGGAACGCCAGATGAGTGTCTTACTATAGGGCTAGTTTTGTCATTTTGCACATGTCTTAAGTTGCCTCTTTGAAATCTAGATGTGCTTTTATTTCGGACGGAGGGAGTATAATAGATCAACAATGGTTGCAACATGCACCTATATGTTGTTTGAAACTCATGGCATACCATGTTGCCATATCATTCCAGTTCTAAGAAGTGCGAGGATAAATGAGCTACCAAGCTATTATTTATTAGAAAGGTTTACACAAGGCTGCAAGAAAACTCCAGTGTTTGATGTGGATGGTACCTTGTTGGAGGAAAATAGTAGCAACAGGAATGACCCCGAGACGCAGAAATTGCTCTCGGAGTGTTGCAACCAGATGGAAAAACTTGTCACGCAAGCTAAGCAATCACCTACTGCTATGTGTTTGTTAAGAGATGAACTAATTGAAGTTGGTCAGAAACTCAGTGAGATGGTTCCAGAAAACAATGTGAGCCAGGTTGAGGAATTTGAGTCATACCTTGGATGTTGCATTCCAGATCAAATTGACATCCACCCACCGAATGACACATGTTCCAGGGGTAGGATCAAGAGAATCAAAGGGCATCGGGACAAGGGAGCAATCAGAGGGTGCCACGCAAGTGCAAGACATGCAAACAAGTTGTGATTCATGATTCACGTAACTGCCCAAATAGAGCACCACAGCAATGATACAAAGGTACATGACCATATAATTCTCGAACAATCAACTTTGGTACGATACAAATTGAAAAATTTAGATAACATGCTGAAGATAGTATTTATAAGGTCATTTTTGTGGTCACTGCAGTTGCAGTATACAGTAAGGTATACTTGCTATTTTTTATGGTTCTTTCATCGTCACATTTTTGCCATTGCAGTTAGATGCATTTTTGTATGGGCTTGTGTTTACAAGTGGGCATTCAGAGATTACCATCCTCGGCTTGATTATGGACATATCTGTTAGTTGATGGATAGTTGCGACTCTTAATGAAAATCTTTATTTAGGCATTGCAGCTTGGAATGTAGGAACAACTTGGAAAATTTTAGCTCTATGCTGATTGCCAATATGTCATATATATGATACATGTTCTGGATTTCAACTTCTGATGGCCTATATGACATATATATCTGTTAGAACAAACAATAGCATTTCAACAGAACACAAGATGTGAATTGATACCATCAGAACACACATTCATTTCACCTTTCCCTTCAATTTTACGGTAACATACACCCACATGGACACACATTAGCTAACCCACACACGATATTAGCTATCCAACACACACATTTGCTGTTCACTTCCACCTACCAGCAACAACGACACCAATCAGGACACATACACCTACAAACACATGCGCTGCAACTGAAGAATCGAGCACAATCTGCAACATCCTCGTGTCCAATTCAGGCTACAATTCAGGATTCAGTCCAGGCTTCGGCTCAGCAGGTTGCGCCTTCAGTTTCCAAAGCTCAGCTACAACAGTATCCAGTGTTTGCTTGACCTCTTGCAATTCTTTCTTCAATTCCGTTCCCAGTCTGCAACTGGCGTTCCTGTGCTTCCAAGGCCTCATACTCCAACTCAGAGCGGATAAGCCACAGGTAGTAGGATCACCATGCATTTAAACAGAGTGTGTCAATCAGAGTAGCATCAAGAGACAATGAGGTCGACGATGTCAAGAATCCTAACCTTTATGTTGTACGGGCACTTGACGAACCACTCGTCCTTTGTCGCCGGCTGCTTGCTCTGGATCCGGACCAAAGGAACATGGCAAAAGGGGCACTCCCTTCTGCCGCTGGCCATCGCACTCGAGCCCGTCGAAGTTAGTTTCATCGGGCTTCCAAAAGCTGGGCACGGACAAGGAGCAGAGCCTCGACAGCACCAGCCTCAACAGGTTATGCTGCCACTTTGACCTATCCTGATGAGGAGTTCCTTGGCTCACATAACCATTTCATGTTACTGATTGCGCAAAACGGTCAGCACATTAATATGCCATATATGTAATAATTTGATAAAAGATAGGTGAAGCCAAAATGATAGTACTTAAGCAAAGACCAAATGAAAAATAATTGTGTTCCATTGAACAAAAGATTAAACTCACACAAATTTGAAGCCTACAGCATTGCCGTATACAATAGAAAAATAAATTTGGTGATATGGCCCAGTACTGGAATATGCATCAACCACAATAAATAACAATGTTGTTAAGCGCAATATCCTGTAGAGAATCTTTTTAAATTGAAATAATCTAGAACAAGGCAAGGTTATCCTCAACCACGACGAACTGGAGATTGGGGGCAAACCTGAAAAGTAGAGGGTCTGCGCAGCCAGATTCGATGTGGTAGTGCGGAGGAGTCCGTCCAAGGCCGCCCTGAGGGCGCTGTTCGTGGGGAGGAGGCACGGGGGGAGCTGAGTCGCCGGCCGGGGAGGCGAGATGGGGTCGCCTCCCTAGTGGAGGAGTCCGGGGGCGAGCCAGGAGCTGTGGCTGAGCGGAGGAGGCCGGGGGGGAGCTCGGGGCGCCTGCCGACCGGTGGCCGCAGTGGGGGCGACGGGCGGCGGAGGCACGAGGCTCGATCCGCGTGTGTGCAGTCCGCAGGCGGCGTGGTCCTACAGAGAGGAGGCGGCGGCCGGGGCGCCCGCCGCGCAGAGGCCGCGGCGGGGGCGGCCGGCGGCCGGGCGACGGGCGGTGGGCAGGCGCGTAGCTCCGCAAGTGCACAGTCGGTGGCTGACCAGCTGTATGCGTACGCTCAAGCTTCTTCAGATGGGGACCTTGCGTACAGCCGCCATGGCTCCCAGGTCCGACCCAGCGACTCCTCAGATGGGGAACGGTTGGAGTAGACCTGGCGGCACACTCAAGCTTCTTCAGGGGTCTAATTGCAAAGGGCACTGAAGCAGTGTGGGGAGGGAAATGAAAATGTACTAGGGAACTTTCTAGGCCGCAGATCACGCATCCGATGGTGCACGCTGTAAGTTTGCAGATTTTCACGTACTAGTGAGTTTACACTGCATAAGAGAACAGCTAGTGTGAGTATATGATTTATATTGTCAATAGGCTTAATAAGAAATCCATCGGTAAAGATGTATTTACATGGATGGTTTTCTTAACATAGCGTCATGACGAATAATTTAAAACATTTTTTAAAGATTTTTTTATATGATCTTGAATGAAGAAATGATGTAAATGAAAGTTTTAGTACTCGAAAAGATTTATAACTTTTGTAGTTGACTGCTTTTTCATGTGAAATCATTTATACTAGAAATTATATTTTAAGATTAATAATTTCAAAATTCATATTTTTTTGAATTTTTCAAATGACCTTGAATAGAAAAATGCCTTAAATCAAAGCTGTAGTACTTGAAGGGATCTAAAACTTTTCATTTAAATTCGTTTAGGATCTCAAATATGGATTTCAATATTTACAAAGTAAATACAAAAGAAATGTATTTGATACTCAATTACAATTGACTTTGAGACGTAGTGGTTTAAGGAAGGAATGCGTGAGGCCTAAAGTTGTGAGTTTAATCCTCATCAACTGCACGCGCGTGTATTTCGTGCAATGACTTGTGACACACGAACTTTGGGGGCTAATTGGTGGGCCTCTCCTGGTTCTTTTTGCTATTTTTTGTTTGATATGTAAATTCTTGAAAATATTTACATTAGTAGTTTGTGTAAGTATACTGCCAGTATAGATCGACTTTATACCGATGGTGGTTTTAAGAAAATTGCCACAGGCGGTTCTCAAATGATGCTGACGAAAACACCACCATTTTTACTGGTCTTTTCCATTGTTGTTTCAAAAAATATTAGTACAAACCGAAAGAGTGCTGCCAAACATAATTGTTTCTATACTAGTGGACTATTCGCCCCCTCCGCTCATAAAAAAACAAGTTTCCAATCATATATGCTCACTAATTGAGTTATTCGCCAATTTCAACTCAATGTATACTACTAGTATTATTTGAGTTGACATATACTGTCCAAAAGATGGCCCTAACTAGGCACAGCAAGCCTTAGTAAGTACTCAATCCATACCAAATTGTAAAACGTTTGACTTTTTTGACACAAAGTTTGATCACTCGTCTTATTCAAAAATTTGTGTAAAATATTACTTCTTTTGTCGTGGTTTGGTTTATTAATAAAAATTCTTCAAGAATGACTTAAATTTGACTATATTTGTACAAATTTTTTGAATAAGACGAGTGGTCAAATTTGGGGCCAAAAAAGTTAAACGTCTTATAATTTGGGATGGAGGGAGTAACATTTGTTACACATCGTGACATGGAGTACTATTATTTTCTCAGATCGAAACATATATAGTTACCAACTGGACAATTGGTAGCAGTGTAGCACTACTGAGTAGCGAGTAGCGAGTGTACTCCATACCAATCAACTCTAGACACAGCGGGCATCCATGACATACATTAGCTTCACAAGTACTAGTACTCAAACACGTAGCTGTTCTCGAGGGCTTGGAACACGGTGGACTCCTCCATCACCTTCGCCACCTCCGGCGCCACGTGCACGTACACCAACCAGTCGCCGTCCCCGCGCGCGCTCGGCATCGGCATCACGTACCCGGCGCCGGCGGGCCACGGGAAATGGTATGACGCGAACGCGGGAAGCCCCGTCCCGAAGTCGGCCTTCCCCACCGGGAAGGTCATACCGGACGACACGATGCACGACATCGCCTCGTTCCCGCCGGTTCCTCCCAGGTACGCCCTCGCCGCGGCTGGCTTAGGCCGCAGCGCCTCCACCCAGTCCACGAGGCCCCGGAAATGGTCGCCGGTGGCGGCCTCCGCCACCCACCGGTGCACGTCGTCCGCCACGCCGGCGAGGGACATGAGGCCGAGGTCCTCGGAGCCGATGACGCCGTACGGGATGGTGAGCACGTTGCCGAAGTAGGCCTTCATGGCGCCGTCCGGGAACATGCGGGTGCGCCCGTCCACGACCACCCCCATGCAGCACTGGCTCTGGCGCGGGGAGGCCGCCCTGGCGCAGAGCTGCCATAGGTGCGCCGTGAACGCCTCCAGCTTCGTGCGCCCCGGCCCCGCCCAGGCCTTCAGCGCGGCGATGTCCGCCGCGGCAATGCGGTAGATCCGGTTGACGGAGCGGCCCGCGCGGCGGGTGGCGGCGGCGGTGGCGCGGCGCTGCGAGGAGAGAACAGGCGGTCGATGAGGGCGTTGGTGGACGGCGCGCGCTGATGTGGTGGGTCGCGTGGGGCGACGAGGGAGCGGCGGAAGGACGGGGCCGGCGGTGGCGCAGAGCTGCCACGGGCGGTTGCGGCCCACCCGACGAGGAACATGTTGAAGGAGTAGGCGTCGCAGACGCGGTGGTCGAAGGTGCACCCGACGACGGCGCCGCCGCACCTGAACTTGGTCAGCTGCGGGCGTTGCGTGCATGTCATGCGCCATGCAACAATACGGTCGTCATCACTCATCAAAGACTCAAAAGGACGTTGCGTGATGCAATGCTACGTCATGCAATGCAAATAAACGCATCATACGAGTAACGTGTTTTACGGGAAAGCAACATTTTTTACGTACACGCAGCTTAACCAGGTCGTCGACAATACATACCTTGACCGCCATCACGCCGGCCTTCTTGGCAGGCACCAGCTTCTCAACGCCCTCGTCCACGGCGCCCAGGCGAACCTCCCGCAGCTCGACGCCGCCCGCGGTCGTCTCCGTGAAGTCCACGCCGCGGCCGCTGCAGAGCAGCTCCGGCTCTCCGTCGCCGTTGGCCACCACCTCCCCGGCCAACGGGTAGTACGCCACCAGCGTCTTGGCCAGTGCCTCCTTGAGACCGGCCGCGGTGGGCGCCGGGTGGAGGTAGCAGAAGAAGACGCTGACGTCCAGCGGCGGCAGGAGGAGGTCCAGGTTGGACAGCGGCAGGCGGTGTTCCTGCACCGGAAGCGCCGGCGCCACCGTGACGGTCACGTCGCGGCCATCGTCGTGCTCTTTGGTGGCTTCTAATTTCACCATGTTGCCTGCGTGATATGCGTGTGTTGGCTAGTGACTTCAGAGCGTGAGGCTGGAGGAAGTGTACACCTGTACTTGTAGTAGGTGTTCAGGTTTTCTAATAAGGTGCCATGATATGATGATATGAATATTTAAAGGGATGGGGTTAGGTAAACTAATTAGACTGCACATTTGCAATGCAGTACCTTATTTTATTTGCAAAATTTGCTAACTATATAATGCTATTTTATTTCCTCGACAAATCGAAAAGTTCTGATGTGTACATTGCAGTACCCTATTATCCCATGTTATTATTATATGCACTTATGCTGGTCTGCAGGTTTGGTGGGATTCTCTTCTGCTATAGACAAAATAATGAGAGATCATCGCCAGTCGATCAGCATCTGCATTTCTTGGTTGTAAATAATATAATAATAAGTAATAATAGCTTTGGTTACTATTTTGAGAGTGAATCTTCCGCAAATGTTGAGATTAACCACAAGTAAGTTTTCTTATAAAATAAAAGTGGTGCACTGTATTTTATTCTTAATACAATGATTCATGGTTCTCTAAGTGTTCGAGAAAAAAATGATATCGTAACGCAATCATATTCTTTACATTGGATCAGCGAAAATGACCCTTTCGTGAAAAGTTGGGGAATGGGAGAAAAATGGATTTTTGCTATTGAATTTCATGCATTAGTTAAAAATACATATTTTTTATAGCTAGAAATTATAAGCTCCCAATGATGGCATATGTGGATTACAAATGAGCAATATCTCTAGCCAAGTCTTTTAACTGATAACATATATATAAACGTGTTCCATTTGGGAAAAAAATACTCGAGCTCTTAGAATCCTTAGAGCTAGCTATATTTCTCTTAGAAATCTTGGATGTGGAGCGAGAGGTACGTTGAGAGCATTTAGATGAATCATTTTGTATATAGTTTGGACTGGGTGTAAATGTTTATGCCACTTCAATTTAATCTATAGTTTATAGGTCCAACCTGGATCTCAAAGCTGCAGGTGTGTTAAATGGGGCCATATGCCGAGTTTACAAAGAGACTCACTATTACTAAACCCTTTGGGCAAACTAGTTTTGGTGATATATAATATGACAGTAGCTTTCATGTGCCAACCAGGTCCAACCGAAAAACTTCGGCATTATTTGTCAAACGGTTGGGAGAGAAACACGCAAGGACAGGTCCCACACTACCAGTGCGGGAGTGACGACGGAACCAAGCAACCAGTCAGTTCACGATTTGGTTGCAGGAACTACTCAATTCATTCCAAATTGTAAGACGTTTAACTTTTTTGATACCAAGTTTGACCACTCGTCTTATTCAAAAATTTGTGTAAAATATCACTTCTTTCGTCGTGGTTTGGTTTATTAATAAAAATTCTTCAAGAATGACTTAAATTTGACTATATTTGCATAATTTTTTAATAAGACGAGTGGTTAAACTTAGAGAAAAAAAGCAAAAAAATCAAACGTCTTACAATTTAGGATGGAGGGAGCACTGAAGAGTGTCGTTTAACGTTCGTCAGATATAAACCAAACAAACCACACTCTGCCAACTACTGAAAAAGTGTCGTTTAACGTTCGTCAGATTATAAACCAAACAAACCAAATTCTGCCAATGCAGTGCAACGGCGTTCAGGTTTCCGAGGCAGCTGAACTGAACCGAGCAACCACACGACTCATTTTTTATTTTACCTGTCACGTACGCCTACAGGCCACTGGCCATACCAAGCAGGTAGGAGTAAGCTACGACTCCTATGTGCCTATGTGACGGTTAGGAATGTGACTTCACATTCTTTTTGAGGCCGGCAAGAATAGCAGCATATCCATCCGAGCAAGCAAAGCCAAAACGACGAAAATGGAGAATTATGTAAAGCAAGCAAGCAAGCAACGATCGAGGGAGCGTTATGCTACAGATTCATTCATTCAGCTCCGGCGGTGCTGCAGGATCCCCGGCCTGAACCTGCGCGGTGCGGCGTCCTCTGCCTGGTCTGAATGCATGCCCGGCCGCCGTGAGCGATCATCGATCGACTTTTCCGGCGGGCACATCATGGACGATGTGAAACCTGATCGCCTGCAGCTCAGCAAGTTAAAAGGGAGACGTGGCGTGCGCTGACGGCGACGAAGACGGGTAGCCAGCAAGAGGAGACGGAGATCCATCCGACCCTCTTTTCTAAAAGCGGTCGAGATGATCGATTACGATTACGATTAGCAGAGCGTAGTAAGAAGAAGACGACGTCTTATAATTTATTAAGCGTCGATTAGGAAAATGTTGGAGCCTGCAACCAATCACAGATCGACATGCATACACAGAAACGAAGCAAATAAAGCTACACTTGGCAACATAACCTAGCTACGTACTTTAAAGTGTAACCACCGCTAATATTCCCCCCATGCACTCGACTGGGCGCGATCGGTAGCATGGAAAGCGCATGAGGTCAGGTCACCAAAAGCCGAAAGGTACGGTGGCTTCGAGTCGCTTGTGTTTGTATCCGGGCACTCAAGTTTAGTCCTGACATTCGGATGCTAGCGAGAGGATTAAATATGAATTAATTATAAAATTAATTGTACTGATACAGATTAATTTGTGAGATAAAATTATCAAGCCTAATTAATCTATTATTAACATATATTTACTGTAGCACTATATTGTTAAATCATAAATTAATTAGGATTAATATATTCATCTTGTTAAATTAGTCTCTATCTATACAATTAATTTTATAATTAATTTATATTTAATATCTTAAATTAGTGTTAAATATCCGATGCGACGTGACGAGGAGTATCCAAGAATCGGGATACGAAGGACCGGTAGCTAGGTTGACCCTATCGCTCGTTTATTTTGGCCCCGTGAAAGAGGACGACGGATCGACGACCTGCGTCAACACTCAACAGGGACAGCGCCACCTACACTCGCTGGTCACTATAGTACACTCGTCAAAACAACATGTTTATCGATCTGGTGATTAATTCCTGCGAGTTGGTGAAGCTCGATCAGTTCAACGCCTGGTGACTTTTAATTGGCGAGTGAGACCCTGATGACCCCTGCTGATGACAACATCCCGACGGTTAGCTTGGACTTATGATGAGGTTATTCTCGGTAATCACATCCATGCTCACCAACTCTATCAGCATGTTTGGGAGGCCGTAAATGATCGTGGATTATTTACTGCTGGCTGGTTTGTGTGAGAGAAAAATACTATTTTTGAGCTAAAAATTTATAATCGTTTACGAACAAGCGAATATGCTGATATATCTTCGTAGGACTCCCCACTAAAAGTGACCAGCTGGTGCGACTATAGGAGCTGCCAACCGATGGTGCGGCATCCACTACACAAACGTTTATATCTTCTTCTTTTTTGGTTTTATTAGGACAGGGAAGGACATATATAGTCACAACTCACATAATATAGTACACAGTACTACTATATAGTATAGCGGAAGCCTCGCTCGCGATCTCACTGAGTCACTGTCAGGCAGTTCGTTTATAGAGATCCTCGCGTGGTGCGCGCGCACGCAAATTGTCACACGCTTGCACGTTAGGTGCACCAACAACAGATAACCTTGATGGCCCATCCGACGGCTCTAGTGCTTAACTGGTACCCATGTTGCCCACTTACATACAGTACACACAGTGGCGCCTTAGTTTGGTTTCAAATTAAATTAAGTGGCCTCGCTCCTAATTAGAACTCTATTGCTCACGCTTTGTAGAATCTTTTCATCATCATCATCATGTCGTCTTTTGGCCGATCTCGCAAGAAAAAGAAGTCCTCTTGTCTAGGGCCGGATATCGAGCCACTTCGGCTCGGCTCGTTAATATTATGAGTTAGAGGAGCAGCTCAGCTTGGCTCGTTAGCGAGCTCGAGCTGACTCGTTTAGCTCGCGCGCTACTAAAAAAATAGAACACACATGTTTATAATTTTCATACCATAATAATTTTAGAATGTGACGTCCACCATTATGCAAACATACATGATTAATACATATCAGGTTCATCAAAAGTATCAACCATGCAAGATAGCTGGTCTATCCATGATCCATACAGTTCCAGCATACTTACTTAGTTGCTTGCCACCACAGATTTAGAAAAGTCCACAAATTCAATGTCAATATCATCATCTTCTCTCTGAAAAACAATACATAAATCAACATTTAAGTACCACAACAATTATAAAATCAAAATTCATATGAAACAACTGAAAATAAGGATTACATATCAATGGAATAGGTGTACACTTCTAGGTCAGCATCATCATCTTCTGGATTCAAGGTCGTGGGCTGATAGGCCTCAGCTCATTTGAGCTCGTGAGCTAGCTCTAGCTCGAGCTGACTCGTTAAAACAGCGAGCTAGATTTCTAGCTCAGCTCGTGAAAAAGTTAAAACGAGCCGAGCCGAGCCGAGCCAGACTCGAGTTGAGCGAGTTGGCGAGCCACGAGTATTTTGTCCAGACCTACTCTTGTCCGAGCTTGGTTCGATGTGCCATGATCCTATGAGTCCAATTCTGAATGTAATTCTGGTCTCCTGGGCTGGTTGCCAAAGAAGTCCGGCCCATTTAGATTCTTTCATTTTGGAGAAATTAGAATCTACTCAATGGACTAGGCTATTTAGCTAAGAATTTGATATTTCTTAATTTTCTAAAGTTTAGGTATAAGTGTGTCTTAAATTTATGGAGTGTGAGATAGAAATTGGTTTCATATATCACCATATTATGTTTCTGCTTAGCAACTTATAGCACGTTCTACGCCTCGCTTCCTTGTAGCAGAAGTGGATCACATAAATATCTCCCCCATGTGACCAACTATAATATACAAGTATATTCCGTAGGTGACCATATTAACTTAATAGATCTATGTCTAATTTGAGATTATTAAAACGGATTTCAATTCTAATAATCCAAACAGAGCCTAATGGTTATGGCTTATGAGTAATAGTTTTCTAAGTTTAAAGAAAATCTCTTCGACATCATATTGTGCGTTTAGGGACCATCCTTATGATTTAGA